AGCGACAGGACTTCACTCTCCTTTAGTCCACAGCAGTTTTCTGGTTTATTCAAAACCTAAATAACGATGTACAGAGGTTAACAGCGCCATGTTTGGAAAGAAAACAAACTATATGGGGTTTGAAGAAAAACCCACTTGGTACCTTGCGTAGGTCTCCTCTTGAGCAGTACTCCATGGCCAACAGTGGTAAGTCATTTAAAGCAATGGAGCTCAACTCCTCTGGAATTTCTCTGGCCTGAACCACGTTCACATGATTCAGCCTAGAACAGAGAGAAAGCCAAACATGCAGTGCTGGTTTGACAGGAAGAAAGTGCACAGTGGGGTTTGTTCACAGGCTGCTTTTTGAACACAAGTGGAGGATTTACACTCACTTCTTCATGATCTGAATCTCTCTGCCCCAGCTGTCTTTGTTCTTGGAGTTCAGCTCCAGGCGACAAAGTTTCACCGCAATCTTCTCTCCCAACTCCTGCGCCAAACACAGACAGGGAATAAAAGCGAGCCAAAAACACACACCTGGGTCCGAGGTTTATGTTGCATTCAGATGGCAGAACTTACGAGGTGCTGGTACAGGTAGACGTGCCCAAAGCCTCCCGTCCCGAGTTTCTCCTTCATCTCCCAGGAGCCACTCAGCTGGCTCTGTTTCAGTGCAGTCCCCTCCATAGTGTGAGGGAACGCAGACCTCAGCTACAAAGACCAAAAACACAAGATATGTCACTGTCCAGAAACATTATGGACCACACTGTAGATCTCCATCAAGGCTGCTGTTTACAGCATTCACGCATCTGCAGGGGAAGGTGTTACTGAACGGTTAACTGTTCTTTACTACTCATTATTCATTATTAATCATACTCTATTTTATAGATGCTTTTAGTGTTATTGTGTTACAGTGACCTATAGGGAAGCATAGAGACATACAGTAGCGTTAGCTGTCCTTAAGAGCCTTTTGTTGTTATTGGATAGCCAATGTTACAATATTAGGATCAGCGAAGTTAAATAACTCAAAGACAGGTTAACTGAGTTGATAAAATAGTCTACTAAAGACAACATCTCGCTCTACAGACATCACAAACTCACCAGGAGGTCAGAGTCGACAGATCACAGTTAGCTTACTTTGGATGTCAGAACATTGTTGCTTCAAAGTTAGCTAGCCGTATTTACGGCTCGTTTTTTGTTATTTAGTGTTCAAGCAAGTCCGTTGAGCCGGCGAAAATATACCTTAACCCTTTACAGTCCATCAAACACGGCTCAAAAGTTAAAGTTCATCTTGTGTTTTGTTGTAGTTTTGAGTGGAAAGCTGCTCGATATCTGCGCAAAGTGAAAGTGTATACTGACAGACAGACGTTGTTTCTGCGCATGCGTGTCTGGTTTAAGAGCATCGGACAGGACGCCCACGAGGCTTTCTGTTTCCTAAAACGTTTCTCCCTTTGTTCGTGTATTTCCCATCTCAACGCGTAAACTAATGCATTTTAAATCAACAGGGGTGTTACATAAGCCAATTCGTTTATTTATTTATTTTTACCTTGAACGCAACCGTGTCCATCATAAGCAGCTTAGTATGAATATTAAGACACGGTCATAATTTGTCCACTAGATGGTGCCATGTGCTCATCTTCAGCCATGATCTGAAGGTCATTACAGTAAAGTAAATGTTAGTCCTTTTATTTAAACAGATGCTCACGTTATGATTAAGAACTCATTTTCAAAAGAGACCCCTTGCACACACAAAGAAACACTTCAAAACACAAAAATTCACAGTAATTCCCATACACAATAGATATTAGTTCCATATTAAAGAGAATAATTTGGCTACCAGTGGCATTTAAAAGACATTATGTGGAGTATGATGTGTTTTTTTTCTTCAAAAGCACAGTATCTATTTAAAACCAATTTTCCAAGCTCGATTTAAACATGCGGTACAGTTAAATGTCCTATGACTTTATATCGTAATTAGAGTGTGTGTGTTATTTAGATATGATCAGAAAGCACAGGAAATGAGGCAGTTTTTTCCAGTATGTCCTCATAAATAACGAATGTACAATGCAACCTCTTTCTCTTGGTTATGGAGTAACATCCCACCTTATCACTTGTGTAGTGCTCTGTGATCACAGTCTTCAGGCTTTAAGGTGGAGGGGAGGTACTCATGTACAATATAACATAATCAAGTGCAAAAATAATTGTAGGTGGAAAAATGGTCCTTCAGAAGAAAAACATGACTTGTTCCCAAATCTTTCTGATCTTCTGTTTGCTAGTCAGGTGTTCCACATGTTTGTATTTTTAAATGAATCTGTTTTCCAGTCAGATCACCAAATATTGCTGAGCTTTCACCATTGCATGAACAAATCTGCATTTCAAGTCCAACTAAACACAGAATAAATACTGTGTGTTTTTTAAAATAAACAATATCAATCATTTATATGTTTAGAGTTTCTGTTAGGTGGTTTCCAGAGATTTGAAAAGATCATCATTTCTCAAGCTCTTACACGAGAGACCGTGAAACATTTTAGATTAGTCAAGGAATGTGACAACATCGGTGATGAAGGGCTGATGCAAAGAAATTCTCTGCAGCTGTCTACACTTTTGTTGTGCTTGTTCCCCTCTGTGGGAAACAGAGTTTGTGAAGCAAAACCGATTTCAGTCAGATATCCGATTAAAGATTCAATGACAATGTTGTTCAACCATGAATTAAACTGATCTTATTAAATATTCGTTTTATTTGATATTGCCTCACTTTCTCCACAAGTTGCACAAATGTCAAATCTGTTTGTTGTCTCTAGTTTATTAAGATGCGCAGGTGAATTCATATATTCCTATCCAGCTAAATACATTGTGAAAATGAAACAAGTAAAAATATGCATGCACAACAGCCCAATTAGTTGCTTCTCATAACTGGTTAGCTTCACAATTTTCCAGTTCTATTTAACGGAAAGAGGAAGCAGACAGGTATCTGAAGAGAGAAGCTGAAAACACATGTGATTAAGAGTGTGAGTGTCAGATGATGAAGCACTGTCAATGCTTGTCTACCTGTTTACCAGGTGTTTGTCCAGTTTGATACAGGAGTAAGAGGAGTATTAAAATGGTCGGCAGGGTTTGGGTCAGAGATGTTTGGCGCTTGTTTCAAGTTAAAATGGAGTTCAGAAAAAAGAACATAATCAGACGTGACTTCACTTGTTGGAGTTTAAAAAAATTCTCTTACAGAAAATGAGGCAACCGCATTTTGATCTTGATACTGACAGTTCTTTGAAGTCCAAAAATAAATTATGACTCACTCTGTTTCTGAGGATTTCTATTTCTAGGGTGTCAGGGTGTTTCTAATGTGCAAACCGCCACTGTCTATATAGAAATAATATCATATGTTACTGTGCAGGATGCAACCCTAATGTTATGAGGGAAATAACACAGCGTTAAATCATACTTTTATGGCTTTAAACTTGAATTCTATGGGGCTTGTTGTCCCATAGGGCTATTGTGAACAGTATAAAACAGGACAAATCGTCTATTCACAGGTAACTCATGCTTGACACCTGTAACACCTGCACAGTATCACCAACACCTCTCACACCTCCGGTGCAACTATAGAGATCGAACAAAATCTAGAAGAGATGGATTAGAGCAGGTTGAGAAGGATAGCAGGAACTCAAAGAGGTGGGTATTGAGCCTTTAGGCACCTGGAGCGTGACTGGTGTCCAGACTGGGTGGTGGGGAGGCAGAAGACTCAAAATGAAACACTCCAGGATGCAGCTTGCCTCAACCACAACTATCCTGGATTTTCCTGGGTTGGTTAATTTCTGTGTAACACAGTTCTTCTTTTGGTAAAACACCTGTGTGAAGCTTAAAGTATACATTTATCAGTGAAGGCTATTGGAGTCAATAAATTAATGTTTGCTTGTTATTCAGTTGTTCCACGCCTGCTGACTTCATGCATGTTGTACATGTTCATCTCAACCTTTAAAGTTCTCTGGTACACAAGGCCCTGCACCAAGGTGTCATATCCGCTTATTCTCACCATCAAAGAAGAGGAAATGTGAGTAACACCAGCGTCAGAGTATTTGATGAGGAAACATTCAAAGTAAGCGGGGATTTTAGTCTAAAAATCCCCGTGAAAAATCCATAACAATGCCCATTCTTTTAGAGGAAGCTGTGGTACAATATTAGTAGATGGGCAAAGAATTTAAAGACAGCCACTCTGTCATCTAAACAAGAGTCAAGTGAAGAGGGTGGCTGTGTGTAATACGTGCAGTATGTGTCATTTCTGGTTCTGATGTGCTTCAGTACATGTTGCTTTGTTTGTTTATGCTGAAAACAGTGTATGTTATTTTTATTGAGACCGCAAATGCACCACGACAAAATTAAAGAAATTAACATCTACTTAAATAGATGATGAATGATGATGAATCCCTGAGCTTTATTGTGATGTTTGCAAATTGACTACTTTGGTGGTACTTCCACCATAAATGCAACAGAGGAAATATCTCAAGTCTGAATTATATGAAATTGACGCAAAAGACATCAAGAAAGCTTTACTTTACTATAATGATGCAGTCCTACAAAATGGCACATCAATTTAGTCACTAAGTGTTTTAATGGGGCATTTGACTAAGCAAATACATAATATATATGTAACATTACCATATAGTGTGGTAAAATGTAATCTAATCTTATAAAATGTTATCTAATTCCAATTGAGTTAATTGGTATTAAACTCAAACCTGTCATACCTTTGAGCAGGATGTGCTCTTCTACACCCACAGCTGCAGCAGTTGTCATTGCACACATGACCAATTTTGGATATATTATTTTGAAAAGTCTCACTGTGGTTTAAGAGGGAATGATGGGGTGTTCAGTGTGTGTCACAGGAAATGACAATTTAGTTTGGTCAAGATTTTGCTGATCAGCAATTGAGCCCCAGTGATGTTTTCATATTGTCTCCTAAACCACTCCCACTGGCCCGTGTCTTTTTAAATGGGAGGTAAGACGTGGAGGATCAGCACTGCAGCACCAGAGCAACTAACAGAGTGAGTCTGGGTCAGCGACGACACAGGTGCATATCAGAGGATACAGAGAGGAGATCAAATCAACTGGAAGAAATAACAAAGAACTTCATCAGGATTTGCAAGTCTGGACAGAAAGGTAAGCTATAAGCAAGCTTTCTTGACTGTGACATTCAGCAAAATATAAGCAGTTCTGTTACTTTACTGTCTGAATGATAAGTCAATTATTTTAGTTGTTTTATTTGTATAGCCCAATATCATAAATCACAAATTGTGTTTACAATGGTACTATATAGTGAAGATGAAAGTGTTTGTTGACAGAAATCATGCAAAGTTAAGTTTAACCATACAACCATTTTGTCATTATTAACATGATATTGTATCTTAGAAATACCTAGAAATTCGATGTTTGAACTGTACGAATTGCAAAACTGCTGTGATGTAAGGGTGTGCACATGCATAGAGTAATCAACGAACATAAATTGATATTGCACTGTACAGTGTTTACAGTAGAGTGCGCACACATCTGTTGCTCTCACGTTAAAAACTCTCCAGCACCGTTTTTCCTCTGAGACAAAGACAGCACATGTCCGTTCAGTAGTCACACTTATATCGTCCTGCCATGTGCATTTAAATGACCTCCACATAAGGGCACAGGAGCTTTGAATCTAGTCTTCCAGTTTACTTTGGGTCCATTTCTGTAATTTTGTTTCTTTTTTTCTGTCCATCTTCAGACAAAAATATCCCCAATAAGGAGAAGCAAAACCAGAAGTGAAGATGAACCTGTTAGTCATTATTGCCATCTTTGCAGGTTTCAGCGTTGATGTGGTAAGCATTAATAAAAGGAAGTAACTTTAAGTTTATTAGACATACAGAGGAATGCAGGGCGTTTTAAAGAAATTCTTTTTTTTGTCTGTGCTTCCTTCAGACTTTTTCACGAACTAAAAATAGTTGGTTACCTAAACCTCATCGCACTAACAGGGGTAAGCCAACTGTCAGGGCAACACTTATTATTCTGCATTTGTTACATCTGGTGAGAGACATTAAATGTCTATTTTTGCAATGTGATCCTCAGAGATGTGTCAGTCTGGGGATGGGAGCAGTTACAGGGGATTTGTTTCTGAGTCGGCATACGGACGAAAATGTCTCAACTGGAACAGGTTTAACATCCCCTCAGGAGCTTCAAAGGGACTTGGCGACCACAATTACTGCAGGTATACTTTAAGTCACCAATCTGGGGCCGAGACATGTTTCGGAGAGGTATCATGTGTTTAATATTATTTCACTTGAATGCCAGGAATCCTGACCAGATGTTGATGCCGTGGTGTCGTGTCCGAAGAGGAAGGAGGATCGTGAGAGAAGTCTGCAACATTCCCAGATGTAAGGTTTGATTGGGGATTTTAAAATCATTGAAGTATTGTATGTTTGATTTGGATCTTTCCATTAATGTCTCTTTACTGATTTACAGGTTCTACACCAACAACAAAACCTCCACCGGCTGTGGATACAGGTAAGATGTGTTGTTTAAATATACTATTTCCTAAATATCATCTTGTGATTCTTTCATCATCGCTCACTGACTCGTCACTGTGTGTCCCTGCAGAGCTGACATGTGGTGAGAGGTCTGAGCAGAGGATGCACAAAATCGTGGGTGGTTCTTTCACACCCATAGAGTCGAACCCGTGGGTCGCCGCTCTGTTTCATCAGCGCAGCGGTTTCCTCTGTGGTGGCTCTCTCATCGCACCATGCTGGGTTCTCACAGCTGCACACTGCTTCTCTGATGGGTGAGAAAAAACACCCACTTACAAAATACAATGTACTCTTGTTTCTCAATGCAATATGACTTAGATATGTAGATATGTAGGCCTTTGTTTACATCGTTGTGTTTGTTTTTTGTTCAGTGAGGAGACAAACATCAAGCTTCTGAATGTGTACCTGGGGAAGACTGCCATCAATGACACTGATGCTGACAGGGAGCAGCGCTTCACTGTGGAAAAACTGATCATCCATCAACATTATAATGATTCCAACTATAACAATGACATAGGTGCGCAGACTGTTACTGTGTGTGTGTGTGTGTGTGTGTGTGTGTGTGTGTGTGTGTGAAAAAGATAAAGAGCTGTACGGGTGCTTTGTGTGCAGGATTCATAGCTGTGTTTGTCTTTGCATTTCAGCACTGTTGAAGATCAAAAGCAGAAATGGAGGATGTGCGGTGAGGTCAGCGTCTGCACGGACGGTGTGTCTTCCTCCAGCTCACACTCAGCTTCCTGCAGGATTTCAGTGCAGCATCGCAGGATTCGGGAGGGAGAGATTCAGTATGTACTGCAGAACCTCTAACCCACAGATTCATTAACCTGATCTCTGAGCCGTTTCGCTGATTCTTACTGACACTGTGTTGTCTGCAGTGGCGATGCGTTACTCGCAGTTACTGAAGAAGGCCGAGGTGAAGCTGCTCTCGCAGACTGACTGCACAAGTCAATCGGACTATGGAGGTCGCCTCACTGAGAACATGATCTGTGCTGCGAGCCCTGACTGGAGCACTGATGCCTGCCAGGTGAGCAAAGTCTATGAATGAATGTCTTCGACCTTGCTTTGAAAGTCAGTGCAAAAACAGAAAAAAGAACAGAACTTATGCAACATGTTATTAAGTTTCAGCAGCATTAAAGGAGATTCTCTTCCTAAGGTTATTGATTATATACAACCAATAATTACTCAAGGGTTCAATAGAGGAATTTAGTTTCATTGTATAAATGCTGGCTCAGCCTAAAATAAGAATATTTTGATGAATAATTAATACTTGGATATTAATCATACAATTTATCACATTTAAATATATTGTGGTGTACTGGTGGCTCAATGGGCCAAGAAGACACGCTCATTTGTCCACAATATGGTTGCTTCAAATCTCAGGTCATTGTTTTGTTTATAGACAGTCAGTATCAATATGAGCATTTATAACAACAAACTTCATGATTGGATCTCTTCATGCTGTGAGCGTGACTGACTGTTGCATCCTCCTCTCACAGGGTGACTCTGGTGGTCCGCTGGTGTGTGAAGCGGCAGGTCGGATGTTTCTGTTCGGGGTGGTGAGCTGGGGCGATGGCTGTGCCAGTAGGAACAAACCAGGGGTTTACACACAAGTCACCAACTACAACAAGTGGATCGCAGCCAAAACTGGGCTCTCCAAATACACCACAGGATTCATGTATCCCACAAAATGAAGCAATGGCAGAAAGTTGGGCATCATATTTCTTAAAAGTTAATATTTGGTAGCAGTTTTGTAGCTGATGGGCATTGCTGTTTTGCACGTTGACGATTTAATGTAACCGTTCGAAGTGAAAGTTTTTTTTACTGTAACATATTTTACTGTATATAGTGTATAATACTTTTGTATCTGGACTTTTCATACCAAGAGTAGGACTATTTTAAAAGCTATTTGAAAATAAGTATATTTATCTAATTTAATGTATTAACCATTTCCTCCAGAAGGCTGGCCCTGCTTTTGTGCATTTATTTATAATAAATTAAATATTGACATTACATATTCATCATGTTCATGAATCTCCAAGGCCCAAATGTGTCTCTCTCTCTCTTTTACATGATGTGCACACTCTATTCAACACACGCAGACATGTTCCTGTGTTGACACTGCATGCCTAACGAAGAGTAGAGAGCATGTGCTAGAAGACTTAAATATGTGTCCTAACAAGTGAATACTGTATCTTATGAAATGAACTGCAGAAACGTAGACATCCAAAACAACTGAGTTGGCACTCAGACATTTTGTGTGTACTCTTTCAGTTCAGTTTGTCCTTCAGTGAAAGATAAGTCAAACACTGGAGGGCACTGTTGGGTAAAAAATGACATTTCGGCATACTGAAACATACTGAAAGTCACAAGTATGTTAGTATAAACAACAATGACATCCAAACTGAGTCGGTATCGTCATAAGTGAAGACACTTGAAGGTTAAATACACACTTGTTACACTTTTTAGAGACAGTGAATAGTGGGATGCAAATTATTGAAGATACATATGACACATAAGAAAGCAATGCCACTTGTTCTTCTTGTCTGACTTGACTTCCAGCTTATATTTGCTTTTTATGGACAGTGCACAGGAAATACTGCAAATAATTAACATTGTTTAAAACCTTCACAGGGAAGCTCCTCACACAAAATGATGTTGGTGGAGTCAAACCAAAGGAATGGTCTGATCTCTTGTTTCTTATGTTGAGGTTGTAATGGAGAGATAGAAACTCAGAGTTCAAACCATAAATAAACAACTTTATTCATCAATACACCAGAGAAGCCTTTTCTTAATACAACGATATGCTCAGGATTACAAATAGATGCATGAAAAATCTAAAAAAAATAAAATGAAGCATGATTGGGATAAAAAAAGCGACAAAAGAAGATTGATGGATTAGAGATAAGATTTAATATGGTTAATGATCAGGAACATGCTGATGTTTAACAACGTTTACCCTGTTCATCATCTTAGTTTAACACAAAACACAAAGCACAGCTGAGGCTCATAATGTCATTAATGATTCAGGTACTATGAACCTATTGGACAACTCTACCTGATGATGGTGCTATAGATGAAAAGTCAGGGGATCACCAAAGTTATTACAATTCATCGTGAGGGGAGCATAAATGTGTGTATTTAAATGTCATGACAATTAATCAAATAGTTGTTAAAAACATTTCACTCAAAGCCACAAATGTCAACCTCCTAGTGGCGATAGAAGAAGAGTCAGGGGATCAGCAAAGTCACAAGGTTTTATCCTCTGGGGACCATGACTGTTTGTGGCAGTCCATCTAATAGTAGTCAAAATATTTTAGTCTGGACCAAACTAAACATAAGGTGGTTCATTTTATCAGGATAATTGATGCCTTACTGTATTGTCACAATATAACAAATTACAAAAGATAGCGAGCGCTTACTTTGGGTGTACAAACACCAGCTGCACATAGTTTCTGTCCCAGAATCAGCTGCAATGAAGGCAAAGTAGGTCACTACGCTTTTACTCTTCTTAATGTAGGAGAAACTATTGTTTATATCCATATGTAGCATGGTACAAATCAGAGTAGTTCTGCGAAACATGGTTCTGAGGAGAAGGCAGAGCGTCACCTCTTGTAAGACAACTTGTGATTCCCAGGAACGTCTCAGTGTGGAGCAGCGAGTGTTTACATGCTCAGTTGTCCACTGACTCACACCCCATACCTCCATCACCCACACCCTTCCCAAAAAAAGCAACATGTCACAGGAACGCTGAGCACCACTGCTCCAATCATGACAAACAATCGATCAATGCAAGTACATATACAATGGCAACACAAAGAGATGACTGATGAATTGTGTTGCAATCATTTTAGCACACTCTGTTGCGCTGAACAACCACAATCCAACTGGTCATCGCGTCATTATTGAAAGCATACTTCAAAACCTCTCTAAGCAACCTGCTGCAATGCTTTTTATCAACGTCTGTTTGGACAAGTCCACATATACAGATGGTTCACAGCAGTGCTACTGGAGCCAATCACAGTCGGTCAAATTCATTCTCAATTACTCACCGTAAGCAGTTTACTTTACTGCTTCTCTACTCTGCCTCCACCCATATATGGATTTGAGATGCTGCGAGTATGAGTCTTACTCCTCTTTAAGGACAATTTCTGAGGAAGAGGAGAGGAGAGGAAAGGAGGCAATGGATGAGAGGAGAGGAGAGGAGAAGAAAGCAGAGTACCAGGGTGTATTCTAACCAGGTGGACCGGAGTGTCCAGTCCCTCTGGTTTGGATTGCAGCCACTTGTCTACACCCACATTAGGGACACACACACACACACACACACACACACACACACACACACACACACACTCAGGAGGGTCAGTTGATCTTTGGTCTCCGGGTTTCAGAGGTATAAATACCACTGTTTTTGATGCGGGGCTCTCCAGTTTCCCCAACACAGATTCAAATCAGTGACCACAACTCAGCAACCACACACACACACACACACACACACACACACACACACACACACACACACACACACACACAAAACACCCATTACAGTTAAATCAGATTATTTCACTTTCAAATGCTACCTGTCAGGTGGGTGTCAAACCAGTGGGACGGCTGTTCATCTGGGATTCTCCGAGTCAAAGTAAAGAAGTTGGAGAAAGAGTGTGTGTGAGGGTAAGGTTTAGGATCTGAACGTCTCCTTCTGCTGAACAGACTCCTTCTTTCAGCTGCAAGTTGAATCCTTGGTCTTTATTTAGACCTGGACATTTAGGCCCGGAGACATGAACTCCTGACCCACCTTTCAATGAGCATAGATCATATGTCAGATGAAGGTTTGAAGCTTCATTAAAACACAACACACCACCAGTTTTCTTCACCATTAGGGTGCAGCTCCTGATCTCATCTCCAGTGTTGGTTTCACGAATGGGAAGCGGACCTTTATCAGGCTGCACAGAGCAGCTTCCCAACACTATCAACAACTCTATCTGTTGTTAGCCCCCTCCTCTGCATATAATCTGCCACATCTTGGAATCACAATCTCTTCCAATGAAGTTACCCCAACACTTTCCTTTTTGGGGCCACTGGCATGCATGACGTAATTTGGGAAGCGCTTTCACTCGCAGTGTGTGTGTTTGGTGTGTACATGCGTGCGTGCGTGCGTGTGCGTGCAGGGAAAGCGTCAGTACACCAACCCGCTTGGCAGCTTTATTCCTTGGCTGTGATTGGACGAAGGGCGGTGATTCCTTCTGTCACGATTTGGGTTGCTCCCACCGGAGGACACCGACCGTCAGAGTCCAGCCTTTACCGAGGTGCTCACCAGAGGAGACGGTGTGCACACCGGCAGGAGAGACGCGCGAGGGTTTCTCAGGGGCTGGACTGACAACTCGGGATTTGTCCTCCTGTCGGTGTCAGTGAGGAGAGGAGAGGAGAGAGGAGGAGAGGAGAGGGAAGGAGAGGAGAGGAGAGAGGGGGGGATCTATAGTGCTGGAGCGACCAGCCGCCTTTTCTTCTTTTCTGGGGCTGCGGTAAACGTCGTTCACGATGCCGGTGTTTCACACCAAGACCATCGAGAGTATCCTGGAGCCGGTGGCCCAGCAGATCTCCCACCTGGTCATCATGCACGAGGAAGGGGAGGTGGACGGTAAAGCTATCCCAGATCTGACGGTGCCGGTGGCCGCGGTGCAGGCGGCAGTCAGCAACCTTGTACGGGTGAGTCCCGAGTTTGAACCAGTCCGTCAATTCACTGAGAGCCTCAATGGCAAAGTGTGTGCATCCAGTTAGCCCGTCATCCAAACTTCATAAATCGACATTCGTGGAGATAAACTGGTGGTGACTGGTCTGACTGTATGCATGGCTCTCATTTAATCAATCATACATGATTACAACAGTAGGTCAGCACACGGTCCTGCACTACACATGGAGCAGTAAAACACAGCCTATGTGGCTACCGGATAGATTTATTGCAATCCCATCTTGATCTTTGCTCGCCATTACAATGATAAAACTGCCACACATCCAGCTGACGCCCATGCGTGTTTCATGAGCTCATGCAGCAGGCTAGATTTTTGATTGTCATTTTTATTTTTTGCAGCAGTATGTCAAACTTTGCCCTAATCAGGGGGCCAGTGAGCTCAATGAAGTTTGTGGGGCGGAAGAGACGAGTGCTGATTGAATTGAGAGGATGCTCTCTCTCTCTCTCTCTCTCTCTCTCTCTCTCTCTCTCTCTCTCTCTCTCTCACACACACACACACACACACACACACACACACACACACACACACACACACACGCACACAAAAACACACTGTGATAGATAGATTATTGCAGAATTTTCAATTTGTAGAACAATTACTTTATATTCATATAACACCCATATAGAATATATACGTATATACTCTGTGGTCATTTATCAGACTCACACCTCTCCCCCTCCTACATTTTCCTCCCCGTTCTCACTTTTCCTCGCTCCTTCGACCCCACTTTACCTCTCCCACTTCACCTCCTCTGTGTCTGTCACCTTGAGTCTAAATAGTCATTTTGTATAGAAAGAGACAAGCTTCAGTCAGACAATGATGTCTCCTCTGTAAGCACTGACTGGAAAAATCAATACGGGCCACATCATTAATGCCGGTCCAGGTCATTGTCATTGATGCCTGGGCAACCGGGCTTCACTCACTCAGGAGAAATCAGAAGCAGGCATTCACTCATTTCAGCTTTAATTATCGAGGATGAAAAGAAGTTGGTTCCATGTTAATTTGAGCCTAAATGTATCTCTAAGGATGGGAGGCCACACTTGGAGCAGACTTGATCAGACAGGATGCCACAGAAGCTGTTGAGGCAGGTTGTGTGGCAGACTTGGGAGGAGCTGTCTGTGCTCTGTTGGGCATCTTCGTGGTTGTATTTTGTTCGCACCTTTATGTAAGTTTTTATTGTATTCTGCTGCATATTCCTTATAAGCACATCCCCTTAGTGCTGATCTTCTGGCCATGGCTCCTCTGTACTTGTTTTCAGTTGGACTGCCTTTTTGAAATATAGTTTGAAACTGTTACTTATGATGCTGCGATGCAGGGGACCACGATTACTCGTCTGGAAAGGACTAAACTGCTGGCTAGATGCCATTTTTTTGTGATATGTGTAAGAATACATCACAATAATTTTGAAGAATAAGACAAACATTTGGATTATGCAAATCCACTCGAGGAAGATCATTCATATTTTGCATTGTCACGGTCGACCTTCATTTTTATCGATGACTGGAATATATTCCATTGTTTTGTCAGTTAAAAGTGTGAAAAAAATTAAATGCGTGGAAAAATATTAAATCTATGACATGTTACGTTATTAAAAAGTTACACTGCAAAACCTTTGAGTACAAACTGCACACTGAATTTAAGTTATTAGTGAATTTTAAATCGCCAGTCCACCCAAACACACAAACTTATTTCTTTGTCTTAATCAGAGTGATCTATAGTTATCTGGGGTGATTTGCAGTGGTTTGGAGACATCACATGAAAACTATGTCAGTGGAAAGTCTGAAAAAGTTTTATGGGGCGTGCTGTGTGAATTGTTCCTTAAAAGTAGTTTAGAGTGAATAAGGCTCTTTTATTGTTCTAATAGTCGTCACATTAAAGTTTTGAATAGTTCACACATAATGCTGCTGCTTCCCTGTGCAAGGACACTTAAGATCATTTAGATAAATATCTCATTAACTGATAATGAAAAGGGCTATTCAGTTTGAACTCAAACGCAGTGCCGTATCTTAATGAAAAATCCCCCTTTAATGCGATACCATCCAGCTGCACCGAGTCCTTGATATCCCATTGCTACCGGGCACACCTCCCCATCTCTCTCTCTTTCTCTGCTTGTCCACGTTGATCCATTCAGTTGATCCATCCAGACAGTGAGCAGAAGGAGGCTAATAGCAGCCTCAGGCATGTCTCTGGGTTTCAGATAATGGAGATGCAAGCTTACAGGGAGCGATGAGGGCTGAGGACACGGTGACACTGGAAGGTGTCGGACAGAGGAAATGCTGTCAGGATGGAGCGATACAAATATTAACACAATAGAGGAAAAGCAAAACATGCAGATAACT